TCTCGACTATGGTTACGCGCCTGCTTTAAAGGGAAAATGAAACAATCATGATTGTGATAGCACACAATAATGTTAGTAGAAATAGTAAATAACAAAAATTATTGCAACAACCATGGATAAATCACGGCCGGGAGCGTGGGCCGAGTGTCATATCATACATAGTTTTGTGTTATTGGACGAGGGGGCGTAGCGACCAAGCGAGACTTTGCAATGTTGAATGCTGACATTATGCACTCTAGGAATCCCTAAGCCCAATATGTACGTTCTTTCCGCTATATATCTTTCTAGCTATATTTCTAAATTTCCTGGGGGACGTGTCCTCCTATCAGGCCCAGGATTGCCGCCCCTGTCCATGATTACTACCAACATGAGCTCAAATACAAGCTCAACCGGTGTCAGTACGGGCCGGATTTTTGTGTATTACGGGCCGGAATTTGTTGCGTGAAAAGTACTCCTTTGCCGGAGATTTTGGGAACACAAATTCGGTCCCTCCGACCCCGGAGTGGGAGGGAGGGGGGGGGGCTTTCCTTTTCCCCTCTCTCTTTGTTCCTTTTCTCTTCTTTCTTGTCTCTTCTCTTCTCCTTTATTTTGCTTCGCGACAATTGCTCCGCGACATTTGCTCCGCGACATTTGCTCCGCCGAAAATTGCTCCGCCGAATTTGCTCCGCCGACATTTGCTCCGCCGACAATTGCTCCGCCGACAATTGCTCCGCCGACAATTGCTCCGGTGATATTTGCTCCGCCGACAATTGTTCCACCGACATTTGCTCCGTGACATTTGCTCTGCCGACAATTGCTCCACCGACATTTGCTCCGCCGACATTTGCTCCGCCGACCATTGTTCCGCCGACATTTGCTCCGCTCAAAAAGTGCCCCGTAAAATACAAAGGCTACTACGACAATAATTGTTGCTCCTCCCCAAAAGTACCCCGTAAAAGACAATGCTCCGCCGACAATAAAATTGCTCTCTGATCCAAAAGTGCGGCCTCGTGGAAGACATGAATGCTCCTCTGGCAATGAGTGCAATAACTGCTCAGCCGTTTTTTGCTTTTCCCCATAATGTTTAATTTTAAAAAAAAAAAAGTTATAGCTCCTTAAGCAAGTTTTCCGGCGAAAGATAATTACTTCGCTCAAAATCTGTTTCATGTATTACTTATTAGCTGATCCAAAGCTTCAAGGCCATCTTTCTCTCTCACTCTTAATGCTCCTCCTTTTCCTTTTCACACCTTTTTCTTGTCTTCTTAGCTCTTTTCTTTCCTTTCATGCTATTAGTCTTCTTTCATTTTCATCACTTCTCTTCTCCCCCTCTCGAGTTCTATTTCTCTCGTGAAGTTGTAACGTAATGTAGTACATGAAGTACATTTTTGTTTAGAATAGTATTATCAATAATATCCAGTCCGTTTTCTATCGGTTCCTTTCCTTCAGTTAAGTGCTTTACTATATATATATATTTATTAGTGTGTAAAACACCCCGTCTTATTCGAGTACTTTGTTTTCACTGACTTTAAGGGACTCACGGAACCAACGGAAAATTGGCTTATCATGAAGAAATAACATCAAACTGCAACAAAATGATTTGTATAAAATGGAATAAGCAGAGAGGCTGCTATCTAATTTTCTCGTCTGGGTTGCTGCTCTACTTTTGTTTTTAAACTTCCCACGAAATGTAATGAGTGTTTAGTGTACATTATATGGGACGTACAGTGATAGATGGAAAGTTTAATTTCAGTACATTCGAAATGACTTTTAGGTATATCATCAACATTCATTCATTTCATTTCATCTACATTGCCAAATCATTCAACGAATACATGTTTACATAGAGTCATTGATGACTGGTACGAATCTTTTAATGAAAAGGAAAAAGTTGGTGCATGTTTTCTTGATATTTCTAAATGTTTTGATTGTATTGACCATGAACTTTTGTTGTCCAAATTGAATAAGTATGGTATTTTAAATACTGAACTTAAATGGTTTTCTAGCTTTTTATCTGGTCGGAAACAAGCAGTTTATTGTCATGGTAAACTGTCCGAATCAAAGGACATAACTATAGGAATTCCTCAGGGGAGTATTTTAGGCCCCTCACTCTTTCTTGTTTTTATAAATGATATAACTGATTGCTTACGATTAAGTACATGTAATATATACGCTGATGATGTTGTCTTATATGTTTCTGATATGGATATTAATGTCATTACATCTAAGCTCCAAGCAGATTTGTATGCTATAAATGAATGGTATTGTAAAAATAGATTACGTATTAATACTAATAAGAGTAATATTATGCTGTTGAGTAGTAACACACGAGGTAACGATGAATTAAGTCTGAAGGTACATATTGATACTGATACAATAGAACAAGTAAGAAGTATCAGATATTTAGGGATTGAAATTGATGATAGATTATCTTGGGATATCCACATTAAATCTCTTACCAAATCATTAAGTTATAAGATTTTTACTTTGAGAAAGCTCAGTAAATTGTTAAGCTCTTCCATTTTAAATAAAATATACAAATGTACCATACAGCCAATCTTAGATTATTCTTGTTCCGTATGGGGAAACTGTTCTTTACAAAACAGAAATATTCTTTTAAGACTGCAAAAAAGAGCTGCACGTATTGTCGTAGGGAATTTTGATTATAATGTAAATAGCTTGAGTATAATAAATTCATTAAAATGGCAATCCATTGACACTAGACGGGACTATTTTTTATCATGTATAATGTACAACTGTATTCATGAAAAAGCCCCAGTACGATTATGCAATGAAGTGGAAATGGTTTTTGACAGACATGGTTTTAACACTAGACTTGCCAATACGCTGAATGTTGTTTTACCTAAGCCTAATCTTGAATGTTTTAAGAATTGTTTTAGATACGCTGGAGGTAAAATCTGGAATAGTCTACCTTAATTCTGCTTTTCAAAATGCTAAATCTATCGATGTTTTTAAACGTATGTACAAGGACAAATTTTTTAAACCTGTGTAATACAATGCCGATTCATTTACTGCTTTGACATGGCTTATCTCTCTCTCTCTCTCTCTCTCTCTTTCTCTCTCTCTCCATTTCCCTCTCCCCTCTTTCTTTCTTTCTTTCCCTCTCCCCTCTTTCTTTCTTTCCCTCTTTCCTCCTCTACTTTTTACCAGTTTCCTTATATCTTCTCTCCTCTTCTATTTTTTAGGGTGATATTTTAATGCCTTTTATTAAATGTGATTTGATATTTTTTCCGCTGTTAATTTCATTTATTTCATTGTCGTTTTTGTTTGTTTTTTTGTTTTGTTGTGCTTTTTACTATTTTTAATGTGTATTATGCATATATGTTAGTTTTATACTGTTCTTACCTTTGCCTGTGAGCTTTGGTGATATTTCGTTATTTATATTTCCGTGTTTTTATCCTGTTCAGGACCATGATGTAAAACAGATTTTGTATCTACAATGTATATCTGATTCTTGATATCCTGATTAAATATATTTCAATAAAATAAAAATAAAAAATTATTTCATGAAATGCATTAAGAAAATGAAGAAAAAAAGAAACGAAAATAACCTGTGATAAAAAATATTGTCGGCGAATCATTTGTCGTAGTACTAGTATCATTTGTATTTTATGGGACACTTTTTGGGCGGAGCAAATGTCACCGGAGCAAATGTCGCTTCATGGGGAGCAAATGTCGTCGGAGCAAATGTCGTCGGAGCAAATGTCGTCGGAGCAAATGTCACCGAAGCAAGTGTCGCTTCATGCGGAGCAAATGTAGGAGGAGCAATTGTCGGCGGAGCAATTGTCGGCGGAGCATCTGTCGGCGGAGCAATTGTCGGCGGAGCAAATGTCGTCGGAGCAAATGTCACCGGAACAAGTGTCGCTTCATGCGGAGCAAATGTCGGAGGAGCAATTGTCGGAGGAGCAATTGTCGGCGGAGCAAATGTCGGCGGAGCAACTGTCGTTCGAGAAGCATTTGTTACCGGAGTATTTGTCGCGTTTTGCGGAGCAATTGTCGGCGGAGCAAATGTCGGCGGAGCAATTGTCGGCAGAACATCTGTCGGCGGAGCAATTGTCGGCTGAGCAAATGTCGGCGGAGCAAATGTCGGCGGAGCAAGTGTCGGCGGAGCATTTGACGTCGGAGCAAATGTCGCGGAGCTATTGTCACGTTTTGCGGAGCAAATGTCGGCGGAGCAATCGTCGGCGGAGCATGTGTCATGGAACCCAATCTGCCACTCAGTCTTTTATTCCTCCGTTACAAAGTATCCAGAGGCATAATGTTTTCGGGTTGTTCGTCTGTACGTCCCGTTCTCGTGATCTCATTATCTCAAGAACCGACTGATGGATTCCTTCCAAACTTTGGCCATGTATGTAACTTACAGAGGGGGTTATGAGATCAAATGTCACAGGGTTCATTATGTATGCAAAAATAGCTTGTGATCGCGTTATCTCACAAACTGATTGATGGATTCCTGCCCTACTTAGGTCGTGTATGTATCTTGTAGAGCCAATGAATTGATTAGATTTTGGGGTCACGAGGTCAAAGGTCACAGGGCTCTTTATGTATGCAAAAATAGCTTGTGATCGCATTATCATGAGAACAGATAGACGGATTACCATGAAACTCAGGACATGTATGTTGCTGAGGCAATGAACTAATTAGATTTTGGGGGTCATGAGTTCAAGGTCAAAGGTCATGGGGCTCATTATGAATGCAACAATAGCTTGTGATCACATTATCATTAGAACCGATGAACTCAAAACATGTACATGTATACTGTATCTTGTAGAGCCAATAAACTGAGTAGATTTTGGGGTCATGAGGTCAAAGATCAAAGAGAACCTGTTAATTGATTATAATCAAACTTGAATTTGAATTTTGTTTTGGTTTGTAAAATTGCTCTATGACGGAGGCATCATTTTCGACTGCATGCAGTCGAAGTTTCATCTAGTTTATTGAAATTGCAAAGTATTGACTCTGACAGACAGCATGCAAGTAATTATCTCTTTTATCCTGCACAGAGAAAGATGGAGCAGTTTCATATCTGGTGCAGCTTAAAGATGTACAAATCGCCATCCAGTGTGAGAGTCAACAGATAGCTTCTCAGAAACAAGGTTAGTTTATTGAAAAAACTAAAGGGCTAAACTTAAGCAGTTCACATTATATTTGAACTATTGACAACAAAACAGCCATGAATCTTGTTCTATACTCTTTTCTTTCACTGACCAATTATTCTCATTTTCCTCCTTTAATTGAAAATAATGTTATATCAAGGTGAACCTCTCCTTCAATAGGTACAGCACTACTATGCCTTGATACACTATGGGAAGGTATTACCAATAGATATTGAAGTAGAAACAGCATTTGCTACACAATCTTGGGCAAGTTGCTTTGACCAATTGTGAACCATGAAAAGAAACAAAATGTCAATTAGCACAATGGTCGTATTTATTATGCAGCATTGGTTATGACATGAAAATACTTAAGTTTTAGGTTTCGTATTACATATATATCTGTTTGTCCTTTTCTTTTCTCAGTATCCATTCACTTTGGCGATGAACAGCACATTAAGACAGAGCATGGTGAGTCTCAGCCAGTACAAACAGAGGATACTGTCCCTGGTAGAGGGAAATTGGTTACCCCGGCTACTGTTTCACAACACCAAGATTCCAAGGAGATAAAGATCGAGTACGATGACGACGAGGATAACTATTCTGCTGCTTGGACGACAGAACCTGATGATGGAAATGATGATGACACTCACACACCATACACCGTACAAGTGGTAGAAAGGGGCTGCCCAAGTGCAACTCGGCTGCCGAGGGAGGAACACCCATGCCCAGATTGCCATGTGATCTTAAACAGTACATGGGACTTGGATCTGCACAAATTGCATGATTGTACAGAGCCTAAGAACTCCATTCAGCATGTATACAATTGTGACCAATGCTGGAAGTCGTTTCGTAGAAAGGCTAGAATAGTTGCCCACTTACGCAAAGATCATAATAATAACATGACTCCTTTTGAAATGGTGGAGAAACTTGAGGAACTGAAAAGTACAAAAAGGCAAAAAAAAGGAAATAAGGATGAAAAATGCCTTCCATCTGACACAAAAGCTCTGAGACATCCAGGCCTCGGAGAAGCAAGAGGGCAAACAACGAGGGAGAAGGTCGCAAGGAGGAAGAAAAGAGATATAGGAGATATGCAGAAATTGAAAGAACAAACAAAGCAAGTTGGAGAAAAGGGTGAAGAAAATCTCATTCTAATGAGAGATGTAGAACTTGTATTAGAAGATAGAGAAAGAGAAATCTCAGCAACGATGCCCATGTCAGAGTCAGAGATCAGTGAAGCTGAACTAGAGAAGGAGACTGGCAATGCATTGGCGATATTGGAGAGGGATGAGGGCAAGGGACATGCTGCTGAGGGGGTAGAAGAAAATCAAGATGCCTCTACCGACCATCACATTGGAAAGAAAAGGAAAAGGCAGACAGCTGACTTGAAGGTCCATGAATCACAGGAGGGAACGTGTGAGCCAAGTGAAATGATTGAACAAAAGGCAATCCATGAAACTGCAGAAAAAAGAACAAAGGAAGAAAGCAATTTAGATGTTGGCGATGACGAAAACGACTTTACAACCAGTAAAAAATCAACAGAAAATGGAGAGGATGCCATAGTATGCTTCCTTTGTGATTTGCAATTTGAGACAAAATGCGATCGGAGGAAACACATGCGTAAAAGTCATAAGGAATATAGGCAGCAGTATAAGTGCAGTACATGTGGTAAAATTTGCGAGCAGAAAGGTGTATACATAACACATGTCGAAACCCACAAGGACAAAACGGAACGACAGAAATACTATTGTAAGATATGTGATAAAACCTATCTGTCAAAGTATTATTACGTTCATCATATGAAAAGGCATAATGATAAATCAAAGCTAATCGAATGTGAAACATGTGGTAAAACTCTTACTAACAAAAGAAGTCTTGAGAGGCACATGAATGACGTGCACATCAAAGAGATGAACTATATTTGCGATTTGTGTGGGAAACGATTCTACACCAACGGCGAGATTAAGTTGCATCAAGAAAGTCATAATATAGAGAGTGCATTTAAATGTAAGGAATGTGGAAAAAGCTTCCGCATGGATTATCAACTTAAAGTCCACAAGAAAAGGGTCCATTCCAATGCTGGTCATTGCCGTTGTGAAGTCTGTGGATCAGCTTTCAAGAGTCAAGCCAATCTGAAACAGCACAATCTTACTGTCCATAGTGGTGTCTACAGGTACCACTGCGACGTTTGTGGGAAGAAATTCAAGCGCACGAGTCACCAAATTGCCCATATGAAAATCCATTCCAAAGACCCCGCTAAGAAGCCTTTCAAATGTGAACTTTGTAGTAAGGCATTTCAAGCTCGAGGCATGTTGAAGGTGCATATGGATTGGCATTACAACATCCGGTCACATACATGTGATGTGTGTGGTAAGTCGTTTCTGAGGAAGGGTAGCCTGGACAAGCACCAGTATGTCCACCGGGACAAGAAACCCCATGAATGTCAGATTTGTTCTCATGGTTTCATAGACCTGCCAGTTCTCAGGAAACATCTAGACGTAAAACACAATATCACCCTGAAGAAGGTAGTGACGCAGAGAGTGCGCGAAGCCAACGATGCCAATTAAAGAGTCAGGAGGAGATGGTGTCCCTGCTCGTAAACCTGCTGCCAGACCATCTTCACCTTCAAATTCATGGTCTCACGACGCTGATAATGACAGTCCAGAATTCAGTCATCAGGGGAGCTTCAGAAGAGGCAATATTATTCAAGTTCCTGAGGCTAGTGGTGGCCAAGTGGATAGAGAGGCACTTCTGGCTATGATGAATCAATAGATTTATAGCAAAAGGGAGAGGAGGCTAATAGATTGATATTGAAACATATTATCTGTTTCTGGCCTTCCTCTCACATGCACCTGTCCGAGCGGTCAGAGAATATTGCATGAAACTGAAACAAGCAATGGGATATACGTGTTAGAGAATGGAGCACAGTAGAGAGCAGTCTTGAAGGCGTTCATGATATTTTGCTAGAAAAGACGGCACATTATGGTATACGTGGTATTGCTTTCCAATGGTTAGCTAATTACCTCTTGAATCGCTCTCGGACATCTCGGCTATAAGGAGGCCAAATCTACCCGAAAGACTATTACGTACGGCGTGCCGCAGGGGTCAGTTCTGGTTCCTACATTGTTTTTATTGTATCTTAATGATTAACCTTGTTGTACTAACTATTTTAATTTTGCATTGTTTGCAGACGATTCAAATATTTTTCACACTTTTGATGAAAATCAAATTGAAATTGATGTAAATGAGGTTAATGAGCAACTAGATGCAATTAAAAAATGGCGCGATGCTAATATACTCACTATCAATTTAAAGAAAACTAATTATGTTTAATAAAAACAAACGACGTGAAATTAATTTAAATGGTGTCCTTAGACTGTCTAATACGGACATTAATGATGTGAGCGCGGCATCTTTTGTAGGAGGTCAAATTGATACTATATTGTCTTGGAAGCATCACATTGATTGTGTTAATAAGTGCGTTCGTAGAAAAGTGACTTTGCTATTTATATTAAGACATTTTGTTTCTCAGCATATCCTTGTGCTCTTGTCCTGGCTCCCCCCCCCCCAAAAAAACAAACAAAAACAAAACAAAACAAAACAAAAACAAAAACGTGAACGGAGGGATACCATGCGTGTTACCAAAATGTCCGGTAAAGGGGTACTTTTCACGCACCAACGTCCGGCTCGTACATACACAAAAAAGACTTTACACACCGGACTTAGGGGGTATTTTCAAAAGGAGGGAGCATGCATATGCGTACCCTAAATAACACTGCGTGGAGGGGCCGAGGCTCTTGTATAATCGTTTATACAGCCCCACATACTCTATGGAATCGAGGAATGGGGAAGCAGTTATGAATCTCGCTTGAATTGTTTTCATTTAGCTCAGAAGATGGCGGTGCGAGCTATTACATTTTCATCCTCCAGACCCCTGTCTAAACAATTGGGAAATTGGATGTTTTGGGGTTGCATGAACTGGCAGTTTTAACGTTTGTTTATGATTTGTAATTGTGCATAATAGAAATTTGCCACACACATTATAAGATTATTGTAAGATTGTACAACATACTAGTCTTATGAAACAACAGGAAAACAAAATGCAATGCTACCCTTGCCAATTTGTAAGACGATACAAGGTACATTCACTATTTCTTTTGTTGGACCGAAGTTTTGGAATAGCTTACTTCAAAAAATTAGAGAGCAAAAAACAAGATATTCATTTCATAATACCCTCACGTTATGAATGTATACAATATAATTTTAATAACTAGTAAAATGCTACATTAATGAAAAGATACACTGACTATCGATATGTAGTGAACAGAGAAAACTGATCTCGACTAGCACTTGTGCTAACTTTTGGTTTTCTTTTTAGCAACAGCTTGAACTTTTGTATGCATGTGTTTTATGTAAGCATTAATTAAGCTTTTGCAGTAATTCATTGTTTTGTACATTATGTACAGTTTGTATTTTATTGTTTTGCCGTGCATACTTTGTTTTATGATGTGCATACATTTTGTTGTTAATAAACTTCAAACTTCAAGATAGCGACAGCTAGAAACTAGTAGTTTTACATGCAGGTGATAGATTAGAAGATTTTTTTCCCTTTAATGATAAAAATTGGGGAAAATTGATCTGATCGATTCCTTAATTCTCTCAACTACACTGTTGGTCATAATGGTGGAATAATTATATTGAATGATTTTGACAATGATTTATTCCTAATAGATCTAGATAATAGTATACATTCTCAGATTTTATTGAATGACAATTGGGTAGTGTATTTGTTTTGTGTGACTGCTAAAGCATGTGTGCGCTTCAATGCTAATCAATTAGGGGACCTACATCCTTAAGTCATAACTGCAGTAATGGGGATTTAATACCTCATAAAAGGGCACTAATATACCAAATCGACACGGTTTTGATCATGGGGGCTCACAGTAACGAGGCCATTCCTGAGCCAAAGAATCATGACTGTACGCAGCGGTTGCTAGGGTACGTCGACGCCCCCACAAAAACACAAAAACAAAGAAAATGCAATAAATTTTCAATAATTCATTGCATTTTGCCCCGACCCCCAACATAAAAAAATCTTCTATGTGGGCTTGCCTTGAACCATAATGCATGGCCCTACATAGGAATTTTTCCTGTTGGGGACTGTTGGTCACAAGGTCATTTTAGGTCAGTAGACTTGGATTATGTTTTCACAACTTAATATGAGAATAAATGAATCAATTTTTGTTATTTGTTCATGATTCTTAATCAATATTCACTTTAAAATGCTGATTATATTCAGAGGATTTAACTTTTGGGGCCTGCTAATGGGCCACCCTGCCTATAAATAATGTTCCAACCTCAATTTTTCATCATATCGAATTGCGTAATGCAGGCGAGACCGCCGAGAGCGTTTCCCTTGTTTTTATACTATAGTTTTGCTAAGGAATGTCATTTCTAAATAAATTCAAACTTCAAAAACCTGTGACGGGGCCCCAGGGGGCGGGGGTACTCACACATTAAGACAGCAGTGTGCCGCTCTAATGGGTCACTTTTTCACACAAAACAATCCCTAAACATGGGTCCCAGTTTTGAAAAAAATATCCCTAAACATCGGTCTGTTTTTTCACAAAATTTTACAAATGGGCATTTATTTCGAGAAAAATCCCCTAGAATTTCCCTTATAATTGGGTAGGGGTTTCGAGGCATGAGCGGCATACCCCCGTTCAAACCAAATCTGGGACCCCCCCCCCCCCTCCCCCCCCCCCCCCGGTGAGGGGGTATACTTCCATCACCTTCGCCCCTCTCGTTCCCTATGCTCCCTCGCATTTCGTCCTACCCCCCCCCCCGGTCATAAAAAGAAATCCCTGCCCCTGATATGATCATTCGACAATAATAATTATTTTTCACCCCCCCCCCCCCCCCCCCGGTTTAAGCTCTTGCCAAACACTGTTAAATATGATACAGATGCATCAACGTGATGTTTGCGAGAGAAGTGGCTGCATGAACCTCGAGAAAATGGATAATTGTGTTGGAATTGAACTTTATGCCAGCACCAGTACCTTGCGGACCGACATGCTCTTTCAAAGTTGAATAAGCAAGGACTAGCATATTTTGTGAGGAATACTGTGTTGAATATGTATTAAAGGTAGTAGATTTTCAAATAATAAAAAAACAAAAAAAATCACGCAATGTAATCAATGCTTTCTTTTTATTAAGCTACATGCAGAATTTAAAGGCGACTGTGAACGTGCAGTAACATTGTAGTCAGGCGCGTACGCAGGTGTTGTTTTGGGGGGTTAACGTTTTTGTTTTTGAAAAGAATGAATACTCCTTACTCCGTAAACCATGGTAATTACATGGAACATTTTCATAAGGGTATCAAGAAACATAAAATTATAAGCCTATTTGTACTTACTTTCATTGGTGGTAATATACTTTACACTGCCTCATTAATGTATCCTTTGCACATCACAGTTTTAACCCTACACATCTAACCTAACAACTGGGGCTCCCTTCCTAACAGGGAGGTTCTATTTTGGGCCCGCTTTTTTCTTCTTATTTATTTAAACGATTAATTCTGTAAGTCTTCGGAGGTTTTATCTTGTATTTTTTTGGCAGACGACTCAAATCTTTTCTTTTCCCATTAGGACCCAAATGTTTTGCTTGCCACCATCAACCTGGAATTTAAACATGTTTCAGAATGGATCAAAGCCAATAAATTATCTCTCAATCTGCAAAAGAAAAACTGCATGCTCTTCAGTAACATAATAAATGAACTTCCAGGCAATGTTTTTTTTTTTTTTTTATTGTACTATCACTCAATGAGTTTTAAATACTACATTTATGGGAATAACCTTAGATGAAAAGCTTTCTTGGAAGGAACAAGTAGATAATATTTGTAAAGTTATCCACATAATAATACGCTAAGGCGTCGAGGGGGGTATCCGGGGTCCATTTTACGGCGCCCAAATCTCCCCTCCCGCCCGCCCCCGGGCGCCGCCGGGCGGTCCCGCGGACGGACGGGGTTTCAATCTACAGAATTGGCCACGTCCCGGCCCGGTGCGACGTCCCGGTCGTCGTCGACGTCGTCGATGCGTCCGCACGTCCGACTTATCCGTCACGAATTTCATGCTTTAGCATGAAACGGAAGTGGACGAGCGGTCTGAGGCGCCGGTTAATTGCGTTCGATTCGCCGGCAGCTCTTGCACTTTTTGCACGCACGGGTTCGATCCCGCCTCGATCCGTCGCAAGTTTTTTTTCTTCCCCGTGTTTGTTTTGTATATTTTAGATGTTGTAATCTTTTCCATTTTTTTAATTTTAATTAAAATGTAGACCTCATATTTAAAATTTAAACGAGTTGAGTCTTTATTTGATATTTATTAGCTTATTTCATGATCAGCGCAACAGATGTCTTCCCATCCACGTCCAAACTTAGAGACCTATTTCCATCATTATTGCCGGGATTTTTATATAGTTTTCGTGAGTGGAGGTATGAAATCAAAGCTTATTTTGTGATTATTCTGGCCATGTTTACTCAGTTTTGATTATCATTTATTAAAGGAAAGTTTTCACAAGAAAATCAGAGAAAAACATCGTTCAGTTTCAAGAGCTCTGCCGTACGCATACAGTGTGTAGTGCAGTGCAGCTGCGCTGGCTGCTCGACTGAGCTGAGCTGAGTGAGTGAGTGAGCTAGCTATTCAGAGTCGAAGAAACTATGAAGGGCCAAACATGCCAATATTCGACAACTATACGCTATATTATGTATCCATCCATGCGACTATTTATGTCTATCCATTCATTGAAGTAGGCCTACACGTGAACACAACAGCGGGCAGGCCGAAGTGCCATAAGATCGTTGGGGGGGGGGGGGGGGGGGCAAAATATTTTGTTTGCATCTTATACATGTTACAAAAAAAATCTGCATCTTACATGTTA